GTTGCAGTGTACAGTGCTGCTGTTGTTGCCTGTTTGCCAAGTAGAACAAGTGTTTTTGCTGCAGTTAGAGCAGAAAACCAGCACTGACTGACAAATATGTCACTCCGTCTCTGTCTCCATCACTTCTCTCTTGCTGACAGTAACAACAACGTTGTGTTTCACAGTTCCTCTATATTTCTCCATCCCTCTTTGCCTTTCACCACTTTCTTTTCTGCCTCTCAGTATCTGACAGTCGCCTTGCCACTCTACCCTCCGTTCCTTCCCTGAAGTCAAACCTGTTTCTTCTTTTCTCCCCTGGGCGGGAGTTTGGTCTCCAAACATCTGTCCTTACCCTTCCTTCACCAAGTCCCACACCTTCTCTCCTCCTCCTCGTCTTTCTTGGAGCATCGATGCTGTAAAATCATGCTTTTTTTGTGACAACTAGGTTTTGCGGTCTTGAATCCTGCAGCAGGATCTGCCATCCAGTGTGATGAGTCATAGAAAGAGCACACTGAGTCATTCTTCATCTTTTTCTCCTCTGCTCTTTGCCTCATTCTGTTTGCCTCCACTTCCTCCTCCTCCTCTATTTCATCCTCAAGGATTTACTGTCATTCACCTACATTTAGTATACGTTCTGTACAGGAATGTATGTGTGCATGTGAAGTTTTCCTCTTTATCCCTATCAGTAATGCATGTCTCTTCCCCCTCATACACGTATATATTTCATTGGCTAGTCCACTGAGGGTTATTTCCTGTTAAACTGTATTGGTACCCAGGGACCGAGGCTCCATTTTGGCATAAGAAAATCAACTGTGTGTGGATGTGTACTCATCCATGAAAAAACCTACCCAGATTTGGCAGCCAGAGCAAGCTGACAATCAGTCCTCTGGTGCTGGGAGAGAACAACTGTGGAGGGAGGACAGGGTGGAGGTGGTGGGGGTTGTATGGTTGGTACTTGAGGTGGCTGCCTTAGTCATCAGCTGATGACAAGTCTGAACCATGCCCATTTCGATTCAGATACATGTGAAATTAAATGAATTAGTACTTGGTGCTCTGAAGTACTCTCAGTTTCGGGATTGATTTGAGATTCAGCATCGCAAGTGTGCATGTGACTGCCTCGCCCATGCCATGGGTATTTGACCTGTTGAGGGTAGTATAATAGAACAGGTTCCATTTTGTGTAGATGGCCCTTCAAACAATTAACATCTGGATGATCATAACTTACTGTAAAAAAGAAACAAATGTTAACTCAATTTTAAAAACATCACTTTGTTTCTTGTAGCTTGTCATGTATCTGCTATTTTAATTTCCTCTTCTGGCCTTCACAGCCCTTATTATTTCAGTATTGTCTGTGGTAAGCAAAGGCAGATGACTGCCTTTTCTTCCTAACACCTTGTTGTGTCAGTCAAGCAATCTGGCAGGGTATGTGAAAGAAGTGAATACAGCAAATAAGCCAGCGTGGGAATTAAGATAACCTGTGTGTGTACGCCTGAGGGAAGCCCTCTAAACCCTCTATCTTTTTCTCTCACGGAGTCTAAAAAGATGGTAGAGCAGGTTGGGACAGGAGAGAGAGCGATACTTTGAGTTGCATTAATCAGATGGACAGACATGCTAATGTTGTTCTGTTCATCCTCTTTCTTTTCATCAGTAATGGTACTGATAATGGTAATGTGGCACATGTTTTTCAGTGTAGTACCTCATCACTTTGCTCCACATCTCCTTCCAAGAACACTTAACGTGCAAAGGAAAATGTTGTGATGGTGATGTATGTTAACTAAGAAGCAGTAACCAATGATTCACATTTTTGCTTCATTAGCTTTTAGAATCAAATCTGGCAAACTTCAGTCCTTGAATACCAGAAAACACTTTGAAAGTAATGCCAAAGTGATTGTGCGGTGCAGTCATGTGGGCTCAAGATGAAGAAGAAGCTGAGCCTGTAGCCGACATAAAAATGAAACCACAACCCAGACCTGAATAAGTGACAGGAAATTCATTGACGGATACTGTAAATGCATGGATGCATGCAATCTTTACTGTCTTAAAATGCACTAATTAGCTTTGATTAAGCTGTCTGAAGGGCCATAGGTTACTGGATAAACATTTTCAAACTGAAGACAGTCAGAAAATGTTACCAGATTTGTGCTCATGAATGAAACATTTCAAAAAGATGACGTTGGGTGTGTTTCACATTTTACACATGAAATAATTCACTCTTTTTGTATTTCTAAAGCCTCTTTATGTCTTTGTAAATGTGTTTAATTTTTCTATTAAAAGAAAGAGTGCAGATTCATTTGGTAAAAGCCATGACATGAAATAAAAAGGGGAGGTTGGAGGTGCACTCAACCAAAGCCAACATCCAGAGCATAGCTCAATAAGGCTTAGCTAAATCACTTGTGCACTTTTTTTTCCCACTCCTCTGCTGATATGTGTAATTTGTACTAAATAAAAGGAACTTTCTTGTTGGTTTGGGAGTGTGAACCTCTTTTACTGTGCGCTGGGGAGCAGATTTTATTCAAATATGAGCAAAGTGTGTGCAACAAGGATAGTTACATAGAGCAATGATTAAAGGTAGGGTTGGCCATTCTTTCAGAAACATTTGTTTTATTACATATAATATATTGAAAATCTCTCTTCAACCCGATGGCAGTGAACACATTAAATGCACTGACAACATAAAGAGATTAATCCATGTTCTGTGGCAGCTGCAGGGCTGAAAAAGCCTGACCAATAATTTTACTTGGCACAAGCAAAACCACTGGATGGCCTACCTGCCTGGCAACCTAACTTCCTACTTGCATGCACTATGTCGTGGTATGAGCCATAAATCTCCCACAAGGCCAGGCAGGTAGATGTGTTACTGCTCTGTTTTGATAGCTAAAGCTACTGAGCTATGGCAGAGAAGGTACCCTCAGCGGCTTTAGTTCACAAATGGCCTTCTCCTTTAAGACTTGTAGCCTTATAGGTAATGTTGTTGTTGTTGTTGTTGTTGCTACCTGCAGTATGAGATTGAGAAGTCCGCAGCATGGAACAGACTGTTTTTACATGCAGCCATGGGGAAAATAGCAACAGTAAACAGCTCTAAGTGTATAGATAGGATTGTAACACAGTTAACTGGCAATCAAAGGCTACACGCAGTGTTTGTGTTACCAAGATGGAATAAAGCCTGTGTTTTGAACAGAGTCAGCTGGCCTTCCGCCCGAAAAGCCTGGACCTCTAAGGCTAGTTACAGGCTAGGAGCCAGGGCTAAAGCAGCTTAGCCATGAACCAGACACTGTATGCAAGAAAGTTATAACTAAAAAGAAGTGGGATGCTGCAAGAAGTAAAACCAGAATTAACAGTGTTGTGGCTTTTGAATGACGGCAACAACTGAGAGAACAAAAGGGGCCGAAAAGTGACTCCATGGTGTCCATATTTCTTCTGGACAGGTAGTTATCGCTTTAGTTTTGTTTGGAAGGCATCTGTTATTTTCCTGAAACCTGTAAGTAGTAGTCAGGCAGTGCACGTTGCAGTGCGCTTTGGAGAGGAGTCAGAACGAAAG